AAGTCGGCTAAAAGAGTACCTATGCCTATTATTTATTTAAAATTAGTGAAAAAGACTTTGGAAATCTGGATTTCGTTTATGTTACAATAAAAGATATTAAAAACTGCTTCTATTGTGCAGTAAATTGCTAATATACTTAGAATATTCTAAAGAAATATAAAAATTTGGTAGGAAAACAATAGAGTTTGCTTCCTATAAAGGTATTTTCCAGTTGTATCTGCATTAAAATGACAACAAAAAAAGGTATAGATAACGTTTTAGAATGGATGTAGCTGATAATTAAAAAATTGTAAATCAGATGGTAAAAAGCAATTGAAAAAGTTTACAATGGGATAAACAGTAATTGTTTATAGGCAGGGAAACAAAGAGATATAAAGCCGGAGATTAAAATAGGAACGAACTGATAAATCATGCAGTACGAAACAGTTGCAAACTTTTAATTATTTATTACGCTGTGATCATTCAGAAAACCGGAAACAATGAACTTAAAATCAAAAAAGGTACCTAACAATTTCAACAAGCACATTATTTATTCTTATTAAAACTGACAACAAAAATTTACATTGAATATTTCTGTCAGACAGTGTATCTACTCTCTAAAAATGAATCATTGGGTTTTCACCAATTTTCATTGATCATTTACTAATCTTCTAACTTTAACTATTTTTTTTTATATTTTTGAGTAACTCCCCTAAATGAACTCTATGTTATATTGAAAACATCATCTTGGAGTATACTTGCTTTAATTTTGTCCAACCTTTGAACGTTATTAAATTTATATGGATTAGCTGCTACAAACCCCATTGTCATCGATGACGTAAGTACAAATTCTTGTAATAATCTATGCCAATGAACCACGTAATTACTTGTCAAAATGGATTGAAGTATCCAAACTTCAATGACAAAAGATTAGCCTTTTTAATCTTCATATGGATCACGAAAAATGCCAAATTACAAAAGCTCATTTGAACAAGTTTTGCTGATAGAACAATGATTCACTTATTAAGGTACTGATTGCATTAGTACATAGCAATTCATGAATCAAACAAAAAGGATAATTTCTCAATTAAAATTACTAATTTATTGTGAATAATAACTGATTCATCAGTAGGTACTGTTTATTTCGTTGGGAAGTAATTAAATTATCGTTATTGTAGTTCTAAACAGTACCTAATATGTATGTACATCGAAAAAGCGAAAGAAAAATAGTTACGTCTGTAAAATGTTCCTTTTTATGTTTGTTTTTCTAGATTTACTGTGTAAATAGCGCAGTAACTTTTATAAAACTGACGTTTTGTGTCGTATAAATATGATATAAGGAGACATTTTAAATATGTACTTACATCGAAAAACCGAAAGAAAAATAGTTATATCTGTAAAATCTCCCTTTTTATGTTTGTTTTTCTACATTTACTGTGTAAATAGCGCAGTAACTTTTATAAAACTGATGTTTTGTGTCGTATAAATATGATATAAGGAGACATTTTAAATGATTTGGGACTATCCTGAAAACTGACACTAAGGAACTTATCTTTATATGTTTTTTATAAAAACATTTCTATTAACCGAATAAGGAGTATTAAAAAGTTATTTTTATTGTTGTTTTGCATTTTTTTATATGTTTTATTATCAGCTACATGAAACTTCGCGTCTATTAACCCTACAGTGAACGGGTGATTTGAGAATCCGATCAGTGAACGAGTAATACTCGTCAGACCCAAAATAAAAAATTTGTAAAAAGAATACGCTCCAACTGGTTGCTTCACTCCGCTTCAACTTATCCCGATTTCTCTTGTAGCTTACCGTTTTTATTTTGAAAAATCTTTTTATTTTCTCAGTAGATATCTTTCAAATAGAAATTATAAAGGAGATTAATTTGAAAACCATTTTTTTATAATAACAGAAATGGCGCTCAAAATTTTAAAAAGTGGAGAAGTCCATTTTCATGTTAGTTCATTTAACACTGTGTATTCAAACTTTTAGTACTTTAGTTCCAGGAAATTCTTTTTGGAGATTATCCACTTTTATACTTAACCGATTTACTCGAAAAGCGGTTTGTTGATTTGTACTTTAAAAGTAGTAAAAGTAGAGAACTGTGTAGGAAGGAAGTTTTGTATGCTGTTTTATTTTGTTTCCAGTTGCATACTCATGAAATTGTTGAAGTTTGTGCGAAAATTCTCTATCAAGTTGAATTATCGAGGAATACGCTGGAGCAGATGTGGGGCTTCAGTGTCGAGGCCGAACTTGTTGAAAATGCCGATAGGCAGGACGAACTTTGTTGCTACGTTAGCAGAGTGGAAGACAAAAGCGTTGCTATGCAGAATGGTAAGTTTCCAAAAAACTATTCCCAATTATAAACGCTTCTTTACTGCATTTTGTGTACTCTGCTAGGGGCTGCAAATATTTTTTCGATTTGTCTGTTTTTACGAATCACTACGTAATAACCTATTTAACTATTACTTCGATTAACGATTCAAATACCTATTGAAAAGGAAAAAAAGGCAACCATTTACGACGTACGTAAGTAGATATCCAGCTCTTAGGGAGAGCTTAGGGGGCTGCAACCCCTGACCCCAATTCAAAAAGTCACATCTTCATAAAAATAATTTTTTAATTAGAAATAAATTGGAAATATAATAAGTACTAAAAATTATTTTACGTATTTCAAAATCCACGCTAAAAACAATAGGTATCTTTGGTCTTATTTTTCTAGTCCGAATTTTATTAATAGTGATCGCACAAGAATTTTAATAATTAAAAATATACGAAAAAGACAATTTTTCTTTAATTTTTGGACCACGTCATTTTTATAAGTCGACTAAAAGAGTACCTATGCCTATTA